CTTTTTGTTGTTGTTATTTTGGTTTGGTGTGTTTGGTTTGATTGTTTGTGTATGTGTCTGTTTTGTTGGTGACTTGGTTTTGTTTGATATTAAAGATGACTTTCATATAGTCTACTTTGGACTCAAACAGTACATATCTGAAATCTTAATACGTATCATGAGACCTTTGTTATCTTGTCCCTGCCTCTCAAGTGCTGGGATTACATTTGATGCCAAGCTAGTAGATCTTGTTTGTATTTGTTGCTGTTTTATTAACCATGCCCAGCCTCACAAGCTTTAAGTTATGTCAACAATAGTCACAAATTTTCAGCAAAACCCCAAGTTCCTCAGTAGGCTCAGAACCACATCTGAGATTATGTGTTTTTCAAAGCTTTGCAAAGCTTGTTCTGCTGCTACCCCCTGGAACACACTTTGCAAAGGTGCCTTCAGAAAAAGTAAAACACACCAAATAGAGGATGCAATGCAACACTGATCCTGAGGGAAAACATGTCCTCCTTCCCATGGTAGATTCATTTTAAATCGGATACTGTGTGATGCCTCCTTTTAAGATGCAGGCTGAGGAAGCCACACCTTTTGTTTTTCAGTATACAATTTTATCGTTTCCATTTCTTAACTCTTATGGTTTTCTTCATACTTCAAAATTTGGCTTCCAAAGTGATTGCGGAGTTATGATGATCAATTTACCAAAGCAGAAACGCAAAAGCAGCATCAACCTCATTCAATGGTAGTAGATTCTCTTCAGAACTGAAGAGATGGCTTACAAGAAAAAAGCTTGGTTTGCAAACATGAGGGCTTGAGTTCACAATTGCAGATCTTATATAAAAGGTGTGTGATCAGATCACCTAATCCTAGCCCTGGAGGTGGAGACTGGGAATGCCTGAGCAAACAGACTATGGAGATTAGAACTCCTATCTCAATACACAGGTGTGGAGTCATTAAGGAAAACACTAGGATGCTAATTTGGGGTCTCCACAAGCATGCACATAATTCTGTGCATGGATACTGCACACAAATCTATACACGTATACTGCACACGCATATGCCAACATACATGTGAGCATGAATATAAATATATACCCCTCACATCTCCATTTTTTTCACAGCTTAGTCTCAACACTTTCTCAAAATTAAGTCATAAGTAATTTGAGCCTTTCAGATCTGCCGCATGGAGCATGAAGAACCTTGAGATGGAGATGAAATCACATGACTCCACAACCATCTTTCCTGTGCCTGCCGTGTCTACAAATGGCCTGTCAGGAGGGTCTGTCTCTTGCTGATCCAGTTCCACAGAAGTCTGGTGGAATTCTGTGGGAAGTAGTGGAAGGGAGTAGGAAGGCTGATTAAGCCATCGTTTATATTGATTTAGTAACCAGCAGTTTGATCTGATGCTTTATCAAGTCTAAAATTCAAACCCTGGCTGGAAACCCAGTTATCCATCAAAAAGGATTACAGAAGGAAAATGATCCATAAATTTAACAGACTGATTCTTGTTATCTCCTGAGATTTCCCTGTCACTTAAAAATGATGTCTAGAGTATAATTTGCATCTAAAATGGCCTTGGAAAGAGGCAAAAGGCCAGTACTTCAAATTAATGAATCGTCAGGTTACAGAGGAATGCTCCCAGAAAAATAAAACAACCCACATTGTGCCAAATTCCAATCCAATCAATAATAACCTTGCTGGTGAGCTGGGTGCTTTCTTTCAGAGAAGCAGTACTATTTTTCCACACTCTGATATTTAAGTTAAAGTAAGGGTAGCCTATTGAGAACAGAAAGATGGGGTGGTGTATGGAGGAAACTTGGGTGCTAATGTCGGCTAAGCCATCACTTAAGGTGATACAGGCCAAGATAGTGCCTCCCTGGACCCCTATTTCATCATTTGTAGAATATAAGATCAAGGAGATCTTTCTGAACTGTTATTGAATAAGACTACAATAATCTGTAATTTTGTAGGTACAAAAACAACTAAAAGCTAGTATCTTTTTTAAATGAAATGCCACATTCTATCCCCTTTCATATAGAAGAAATGGGATTTTACATTTCACTTTCTTTAAAAATGTATTTCTTTAAATTAGCAGTTACATCTGTATGTGTTTATGTGTGTGGGTACATAGGGGGCTGGTTTTTACAAGAGAAGTCTCTCTCCTTCTGCCATGTCAGTCCCAAAGTATCCAACACAGGTTATCAAGCTTGGAGGTAAATGTCTTTACCTGCTAAGCCAACTCATTGGTCCTACATGTCTGTTTTTAAATGGGATCTCTATGTACACTGCCATCACTGAATATTTGCAGGTTATCTCAGTATGTGATTGCATCCTGTGGATCATCTGCTGCATGTGTGTGTGTGTGTGTGTGTGTGTGTGTGTGTGTGTGTGTGTGTGTGTGTATGTGTGTGTTTGTGTGTGTGTATTTATGTGTCTGTGTAAGCTTCTGTGTGTGTTCCTTATCAGTCTTCCCATTTGTGCCTTTACAAGAAAGAAAAAAACATGTTTTATTTACTTGCTATTAATATTTGGCTAATATGGTAATATGCTGCATACCAGATCAAATCAGTGCTTCTAAAATTTACTTATTTCTTTAAATGATGGGGTTAAGCATATTCCCTGCATGTTTCTTTATTACATTTACACAATGGAGTACTACTCAGTGGGAAAAAAACAATGGAATCTTGAAATTCACAGGCAAATGGATAGAACTAGAAAAAAACCATTCTGAGCAAGGTAACCTAGTCACAAAAAGACAAACATGGTACCCACTCACTCATATATGGATTTTACACATAGAGCAAAGGATTACCAACATACAATCCACACTGCCAGAGAAGCTAGGAAACAAGGAGGACTCTAATAGAGACATACATGATCCATTGGAGAAGGGAAAAGGGACAAAATCTCCTGAGCAAATTGGGAGCATGGGGGGGAAAGAAGAGAGAGCTAGGAGAATGAGAAAGGGAGAAGAGGAGGGGTGAGGAGGACATGAGGGAGCAGGAAGTTTGAGGAAAGAATAGAGAGCAAGATAGGAGATAACATAATAGCGGGAACATAATAGATAACATAAACCATTATTGGTTTAAAGATTAATCAGGACTAGGGAAATGTCCAGAGATGTACAAGGATGACACCAACTAACAATCTAAGCAACAGAGGAGAGGGTATCCTAAATGCTCTCCCCTGATAACAAGATTGATGACTAACTTATATGCCATCCTAGAGCCATCATCCAGCAGCTGATGAAAGTAGAAGCAGATACACATAGCTAAACACCGAACTGAACTAGAATCCAGTTGCAGAGAAGGAGGAGTGATGAGCAAAGGGGTCAAGACCAGGCTAATGAAACCCACAGAAACAGCTGACCTGAACTAGGGGGAGCTCTTCATCCCCAGACTGATAGCTGGGAAACCAGCATGGCACTGATCCAGACCCCATGAATGTGGGTGCCAGTGATGAGACCTAGGAAATCTATGGGGTCTCCTGTTGTAGATCAGTGCTTATCCCTAGCATAAGAATGGACTTTGGAAGCCCATTCCACATAGAGGGAGACTCCCTGAACCTAGACACATGGGGGAAGGCCTAGGCCCTATCCCAAAGGATATGGCAGACTCTGAAGACCCCCCCCCCATGGAAGGCCTCACTCTTCCTGGGGAGCAGAAATGGTATGGGATAGGTAGGGTGTTAGTGGTGGGCAGGGGAGGAGGGAAGGGAGAGAGAACTGTGATTGACATGTAAAACAATCTTGTTTCTAATTTAAATAAAAAATGGTAAAAAAGAAAAAGCCAGTATTCATAAGAATTACAGAGTCAATAATTTTGACCTTTGTGTCTAACCCAACATAGATTAAATATTTTTCAGTTGCCCCAATAAAGGGTTTGTGTGTATGCTTGTGTTTAGAAGTATTTTGATCAATATATTTATGTGCTCAAAATAAATTCCTGTTGTCTGTCCAGTAAGAAGGTTGTAGTAACTATTTTTCAGAAAAGCAATGTACTTTCCCATGTCTCCTCTTAATAGACTATGTGATATTTTCTATTTCAAATAGAGATTTGACAATGTCCAGCTCAATGTACTCAGCATGGTTGATTTCTCATGGAGATATCAACCTTAAGCTTGAGTAGGGTTGAACGTCTTTGTAGGCACTTGGTTCTTGAGTGAAATGTGCGGGAAAGTTTTAAGAAGCCTGGAGCTGTTAGCCCAGAGAAAAGGTTTGTTAGAGGAGTGCTCGGGCATCAGTGGTCTCATTGTTCTACTATAGAACCTCAAGCAGAGCACAGCCTTGAAGTTAGAAAGGCTGAGTGAGATTGGGGCAATCTCAAAGTTGTTTAGGCTGCTTCCATAACATGCCTGCGATGTTTTCACTTTCCCTGGAAGAAAGAGTGATTCCAGTGATGAAAGTGCAGACCAGATAAGAGAGGGAGTCAGTGTCTCACAGTGTTTCCTTGAATCCCAATGTGTAAACAGTCATTTGGTCTACCTACCTTCCTGTTAGTCTACAATGTTGTTCTAAGATATGGCGACAATACCCTATAGTAGAGTTGCTTTGGGGGCTGCAAATGTCACATTCTGCCACTTGCAGGCCACCTATTTATGATAAATCCTTTGGAAGTAAATGTATTTTAAAGCCATAGAAGGAAATTTTTGCACTGTCTAGAATCTATGCTTAAAAACCAAACACACAAAAGCTCCAACAGAGCCCAAAGTTTATTGCAGTGTCAGAACTTGCTCCTCTGTAATGATATCCTAAACTTAACATGTACCTTCAAAATCTACCATGCTGCTTTGCTTTCATTAGAGAAGAACTGCAACAATTATCTTTCATGGTTCCCTAATGCTGTGTACAAATGCTGGATTTTGGATTGCATACTGTATTACTGTTACAGTATTACTTATTTAGTTTGGGCTATGATTTTTAATAATGCCTGCATTAACTAGATTAGGAATCTTTGAGCAAATATGCTCACCTGTACTTACTCAGTTCTTTTTTTTGTTTTTTTTTTTGTTTTTTTTTTTTTGTTTTGGGTTTGATTTTTATCCTCCTGTACCATTTGCCTGAAAGGAAAAAAAAAAAAAAACATTTAAAGTGCAATGCACTTAACATCATAACAAATGTTACTTTGTAGCCATGTATTAACTAACATTTTCTTAAAGGAATAAGTAATTTTTGATGTGTAAATTCATTGCTTTCCCATCAGTGCTCTGTGGACAGCTGTTCCCCCAATATACATACTGAAGAAACAGGCCTGGGATAATTATAAATATTTTTGAGTGATGTTCAGGAAGTAAAAATGAATAATTAAGGGGCTTTAAGCCAAAAACCACATTCTTATCCTTAGGATTTTATTTTTTCTTTCTAATTTTTATCCTCTTACTCCTGTCTCAGTTTCATTGCTCTCAATGGATGTTGGTGTCTCTGGTGTTAGTGCCCTGCTCAATATCAACCTAATATGACCAACCAGCTTTCACAGAGGGATTACCACTTTGTTCAATTAGGGTTTTTCGAATCAAACCTATTGATGCTATTGTCTTTGCTCTACTTGGATATGAAAAGGAAGTGTCTGGTGACCAGTGTAAATTCTGCTGGGTTTTTCATGGCTACCACATAACCCTGAACATTTTCTCTCTGACCATTTCTCTGCTCCAAAGCAGATCATTAAATTGCTCCCAGGCAGAAAGCACAGGACCAGAACAGCAGGGCACTTTTGTAATAAGACCTTGTAAATTGAAAGCCCTGGGTCCCTTTCCCACTGTGAGAACCCGCTGAGACTGGTTCCTTTTAACATTGCATTAATAGGCCCTTCAGACCTAGTTAATTAAAGACAGTATATCTAGGCAGACTTTCATTGCTTACACGGATTCCAGGCATGGCAACCCTTAAAAATCAGTTCCTATCTTTACACATCTCTATGTAATGGAACTTCTCGGTAGCCATCATACACTGCAAATAGTTCACACTTCATGGGAAATGCGTTCTCTAACTTATATCTTATGCTAGACGTGCAGTGGCCTGAGTTAAGAATCCCATCACAGTCTTATATGTATCCATGTGTTTCCATCAAGTCAGATATGAGGACCATCTAGCAGTGATTAACCAAGTCCATTTGTTAAATCCCTGCTGGTTAAAGGAAAAGCTTATAATTGCAAATATCATGGCCATACAGTTACAAACTGGAGGCCTGCTGGGAAATGCAGACCTCAATGTGGAGGTGTCATTAAAACCTCTAAGTGAGCCAGGGCAGTTAATCACTCAATTAGACTCTCATTATCATCTGCCCCGAATCAAAAAGGCCTCCCGTGGTCCAGAAGGGGTTGTAACCAGTCACTTTGACGGGTGATCCCCTCCTCACATACAATGGCCACAATGGGCCTTGGAGGGGTTATCAGCATGACGTGGCCTGTATCTCAGCCTAAGCAGACGCCCAGGGAGTTTAGACAGCCAGTACTGAGGAGATCAAAGGCAGAGAAACAGCTGATTCCAGACTGGCTGGTGTCAGCCTGGAGTTTCCTCTGTCAAAGGCAGAGGAAGAACTATCTTATTGATTGCTAGCCTTGTTGCTCAGCCTGCAATTAAAGACCTGTCCTCTGGGAACAGCTTGGAGGAATGTCTGGCCTTTGCAGGCCTCAGCAGTGGAGATATTAAGAACAGGCTTTTCCTTAGTTCAGAAAATCCTATTTGAGAAGATCGGGGTGTGAAATTGTCACCTTCCCACCACACAGTGGCAGGAGAAGAGCTGAAACACAGCCATTGGTACTGTGTAAGGAACTATCCCCACCCACTAAAATGCATTCAAATTACCAGCCAACTTTTGTAGGCTATAGTAGTCGATTTCCAGGTGTCCACCCAATATTGCTTATCCTGGATTTAGTTGTTACACGTCACTAGGCTCCTCTTGGCTACAGAAATTTCTCAGAACTTGTTTTTGACCAAGATAGTTTACATGTAGGTGTTTCATAGGCTGCCTTTCAATTAAAATTTGTCTGAATTTTTCTTTGCTTTGCATTTATTGTTGTTGCTATTATTATTATTATTATTAGACTAAGATTATCCCGGGATTTGGGGGTGGGGGGAGAAAACCATAGAAATAACTTTCAACAAGCCCTAAGGAATGTTGCTGGTTGCATATTCAGTACCATTGTGTCAGATATATGACCAGATCTATGCATTCTTCAGTTAGTTTCTGGCCTCCTGGGCTGGTTTATCTCACCATATTAAGAGCACTTTCTGAAAGCAATGCTCATCATTGTTGATGTTAACTTAAAGCACCACAGGTAGGCTGTGTTATCCAATTTCTCTATGATGAAGTTGCTCCTTTCCCCTCAGTCTCTATTGTAACCTACAGAAAACAAAATACAAATATAAACAAACAAAAAAGAAAACAAAGCAAAACCTCTCAAAGGGTGGATAGTTACAGACCATGATCTCAAGGACTAAGTGCTGCATCTTTGATATCGTTGAATGGTATCCTTCAACATTTATTTGTTTAGTAAATCATTGCAGTTTGCTCTCCTAGCTTTCCTTTTCTACTTTATGATGTAATCTGACATATCCAGCTAGTAGTTTCTAGGCTTTCTGTTACCTTGTCCAAGCCTTGAAGGTTCAACTTTCTTTCAAAGTTATTTAAATCAGCATCTTTTCAACTCCTCAAACAGCATTGTTTCATAGATGGCTGTTACTGTCAGGTACTATCTGTGTTCTCCAGCCTCCTGATTTACGTTTCAAAGATTCTTTATTTGTACTGAAAACTCAAGAGATTTGACAATGTTTAATATGTGTATTAAGCAAGAGAAACTATGGAATATATGTTTATGCGTGTGTACATATAAACATAATATGTTTAAGCATATATATATATATCTTTTTGGGGGGTTCAAGACAGGGTTTCTCTGTGTCGCTTTGGAGCCTATCCTGGCACTCGCTCTGGAGACCAGGCTGGCCTCGAACTCACAGAGATCCAGATGCCTGCCTCTGTCTCCCGAGTGCTGGGATTAAAGGCGTGTGTCACCAACACCCAGAGGAGTATTATATATCTTATAAACACACATACACACATAAGAGAGAGAGAGAGAGAGAGAGAGAGAGAGAGAGAGAGAGAGGGAGAGAGGAGCTATACTAGATTGGATTTCACAATATGGGCTGAATTAAACCAACTATAGCTATCTGCATTCTGAAGAGTCAGAAACCTCAGTAGCTACTCAGTCCATTAAGCTGGATGGCTAGTCAGCACCAAACTGGCTTAAAACCAGGAAATCTCATTGGATTGCTGCTGACCTTGAGTCTACATTGGGGAGCTGCTATCAGTGAACAATGGTAACAGCAGCAGCAGCAATGATGGACATGGAAGAAGAAGAAGAAGAAGAAGAAGAAGAAGAAGAAGAAGAAGAAGAGGAGGAGGAGGAGGAGGAGGAGGAGGAGGAGGAGGAGGAGGAGGAGGAGGAGGAGGAGGAGGAGGAGGAGGAGGAGGAGGAGGAGGAGGAGGAGGAGGAGGAGGAGGAAGAAGGAGAAGGAGAAGGAGAAGGAGGAGGAGAAGGAGAAAAGAAGAAGAAGAAGAAGAAGAAGAAGAAGAAGAAGAAGAAGGTGGGTACACCCTGCTCTATGCAGGGACCGCTCTCCTATCTGGATGACCTTTTGCAAAGTGAAGCCCAGTTTGAGGGCAAATCTTTTTCTTTCAGTCAATCTTATCTGCAACTGGTCTCAGCAACACTTGTGGAGGTATGTCTAATTGTCTAAAGCAATCTAAGCAGTGTTTGGAAGGCTCCTGTGGAAGAGTTAAAAATCTGTATCTCATGCTAATGTTTGAGGAATTAAAGTTTGGGTAGAAAGTGCTTAGAAAAAGACAATATTAACAAAAGCAAGCCATGGGTTTAACAGTAACACAATAGAAACAGGAAATAATTTAAGACAGTGGGCTAAAATTTTGTAAATGATAAATTGGGATTAGTGGGCAGAATTAAATTTTGGAGATATTAAAAGTATTTCTTATAAAACTCTTAATAATTCTTGACTTAGCAGGAAAAATCCATGTTCTAGTCTGCTCCAGAAGCCATTTGAATGCTATATTTTTAATTCTGAAAAAGTTATAAAAAGATATCCCCCCATTCACACACAGAAACACACAATCTTACCTTTTTATTGGAACAAAAGACACTCTTTATCCTGACAGAGTGACATTTCTGTAGATTCTGGATTCACTTATTTTAAGTGCACTCAGCTTTTCTTGAAAAATGATTCTGCATCACCTATTGAATTTTCAACTTATAGCTGTCCTCTTATTGAGTCTCTCTGCTCTATGCTCTTTTCAATCAAGAACAAAAATGCTGCAGCATCTTTCCATGCATTTATTTGAAACAAAGCAAAGAGAGTCACACCCTGTTGAAGCCAGAACACTTTTGAAAGCACTAGTGATGCACTTGATAGGCACCAGAGAATTTGAGTGACTAATAGTAATAATCGCTAACATACATTCTGATTATTGAATAGGATATCTGAAGCATATCTGAATATTTGGTTGGTCTTAGGAGCCAGCATGTCACTTGATGCCTCTGCCTATGAGAAGAACCAGAAAAGATTATGTAAGAAACAGTAAGAAGGAATGCTTCCAATCCCAGCTTCCTGGGCCGGGGCCCTGCTTCTTCTGACTTATCTAGGTGAAAATGAGAAACAAGCCTTTCTGTGCCATGTTTCCCTTCATCTTTAAAGTGATAAGGAATATAATCCCCCTTACAGGACTCATGGTGGATTTAATAGTAAAACATGCAAACCCTTCTGAAGAATGCCTGGCTAAGGGTGACTTCTTATAGCCCTGAGATATTCTGAGACCATTCAGGCACCCTCCAACCATTATCATCACTGGTGGGCCTCAGAGCATTCAAAGTCTGAAAATACCCCACCGGAATTTGCTATTAACCATTATTTTTCATTTCTCCTACAAACAGTAAGAAATACAGGGGTAAAGAGAAGCCCGTGGGAGTACAAGAACATGGAACTTGTTTTGAGCCAGGGCTCCCTGCAGGAATACGCAGTAGAGGCTCAGATCGGGGCAGCTGTCCAGGGAGTGATGTATGACAAATGACTTGTTGCTGCAATGGATCATCAGAGCCCAGCTAGGCTGGTGACATGTCACAGGCATACATCATCAGAGCAGTGCCCGGCAGAAACAGCAGCCTGGAAACCACCCTGCTCCATAAATTTTAATACAGATGAATAAAAGAGCTGTAATTTTCTTTTCTTCTAAATTAAAGATTGACACTCAGGAAAGGCGACACAGAAGGGTCTTTCATATGACCCAGTTGCTTGCCAAAGATCCCAGGGGTACTGTATTCCTGTGTGCATAGCCACTATCAGCAGTAGCCATACAGATGAAGGAAACTCTGCTACCTCATTTTCATAGTTTCTCAAGAGACTTTGCAGTGTGTGACCTCCTGGTGCAGCCTACTACATGGGTTAGACATAGTCTGTACTGCTCTGGGGACACAATGGTGGTTTTCCTATTGACCATTACTCTACTATCAAATGGTGGCACACTTGAAGCTATTATGTCATTTGCTAAGATTGCTCACAATGTATATCTTCATTAAGGTTAAACTGGTGAATGGGAACAAGTTTAGTGAATTGTAACTAGAATGGTGATTTCTCACCAGGTTTGGGAATACAATTGAGAGCAATATGAATCATTCCAGTAGCTCACAGTTCAGTTGGGCTGAAAGGGGGCAATAAGAATTGGTGTCCATGAATGAGATAATTTATTAATAATAAGAACATTAAAAGAACAGTGAAGGCATGGAAAAAAAGATGAAGAACAGACTGGCTAAGTTGGTCAGGAAAAGCCTAGTGTCCTGAGTAGAGACAATGAGAAATTGATGATCTGAAGAAAAATGGACATGGCAAGTAAGAACCAGAAGTGAGATCTCCCAGTATCCATACTCAGAAATATGGATCTTGGAAAGAATTGCAATGACGAAGCTGTGATGAGCAGTTCATATGGTAGTCTTTACTCTGCTGAGAAATTTGGATAAGTGCACACACACACACACACACACACACACACACACACACACACACACACACACCACACACACACACAACACACACACACACACACACACACACACACACACACACACACACATACAGAGGGGAAAGAGGGCAAGGGAGAGAGACAAAGATAGGCAGGCAGGCAGACAGGCAGAGATAGAAATGAGAAGTCCAACAAAATACACTTTAGTGTTGAAATATTTTGGAGAGCAGAATTTCAGGAGGCTGAGGCTGATCTTCTATGTCACCTGAAGGGTGAATTCAAATGAGGCAGACTTCAGCATCAGCTGTCAGAAGCTGCTAAGTTTAGTAAGAGAAAAATCCCATGAAGTGAACTCTTTTTTAAAAAAATAATTTTTTTAGACTTTTAAATAGAAGCACTGCACCAGCATCACTTCCAACAGCCTTCAACTCTTCCCATGCCTCCTCTTCAAAATTTATGTCCTCTTCACTAATTATTAAATTATTATTACACACACACACACACACACACACACACACACACACACACACAAAGAAAACGTATACTGAGTCCTTTTAATATTGCCTATACATAGATGAGTCAGGTTTCATCACTTGGGATTGGACAGCCTATGTAGGAGCTTGTTCTTAGAGGAAAATGATTCTCCCTTTCTCCATAGCCATGGATTGCCTGTAGCTCTTCATCTCGGGGTGGCACTTCCTGACATTTTTCCTGTCCACATTGAGAACTGTTGCCTTTTGGTGCCAAAGTGGTCAGATAAGAGGAGTAATTATAGAAGGCAAATGTGGGACCTAGTGTTACGATAAATCTTTTTGCCAAAAGCTGCCTGAGCCCCACTGCCACGTGTGTGCTTTATGCCAGCCACCTGCCCGAGTTAGGCCCAAATGAATACACAGAGAGAGACTTGTATTAGTTACAATGCTGCTTGGCCAATTACCAGGATTCTCATCTGTTAGCTCAGTCTCAATTATCATAAGTCTATATATTTTATAAGACCTATCATATCGGAAGCCTTATTGGCGTCCCTCCTTGCTGGTGAATCACATCGTGCCGCTGGAGCAGGAGCCGAGGGGAAAAGAGAGCGACACTTCCTTTTTCCTCTTCTTAAATATGAGTTTCCTTGCTATGTCACTTCCTGTCTGGAACACCACTTCTCTACTACATTTTCCAGAATCCTCTTTGACTCCTAGTCCAGCCTAACCTGCTATCTCATTGGCCAAGCAAGTACTTTATTTATAAACATACACAGAAGTATTTCCCCCATCAACCTAGAGGATTCTCTTGAGGATGGGTCACATCCAGGCCAACCCAGATACTGATGGGAATCAACAAGAATGAGATATATGGGCTAACCAGGAGAAAATAGAAGAGAATAGAGGTAATGAAGTATCACCAAAGCAAGCGGTAACTGACCCAGCATGCAAAATTGGCAAGAAATGCTCACAGATTTTATAGCAAGAGGAAAGATGAGAGATGATATTGCTCAGATAGCCATGTAGATTAGATGTGGGAATAGTTCAAAATCCCTCCCTCATGAACATTTCTATCCTGTTATGCAACATCTATGTGCTTTACGTCAGCTACAGACCTTACACCTATGTCTTCCAAGAGTCAGTCCTAGTAGAATCAGCACTATTAAACGCTTTCTCTAAATACTAATGTGAAGTGGGAACAAGACAGACTTTTGGAGACCCAACCTGAAGTGTGTGTATTTCTGGAGCTTGTTTTGCACAAATGTGCTGCTTCTGAGCTGTAACAGGTAGCAGACTGAATATGAAGAAGGACAGAGAGATAAGACAAACAGAAGACAGAGGTGACAAAAACAGACAGAAGTCACAAGGCCCTATTATTTCTTTTTAAATAGTCCCTGAAATACTGAGAGAAATCCATACACTGTTGATGCCATGCCAAACATCGCTTGGCTTCTGTGAAAAATGTGAACATATTCCACTGACTGGCTGGAAAACACTCTCTGGGGCCATCACTGTTTTTCCTGCGGCTGTACCTGTGTGGTTTCATTGAAGACTTGCTTCAGTAGACGGTGTTGGCAATTCAAGGCCGAGGCGCCAAGGGTTTCTTAGAAATGTATTTCATGGTACAGCATCATGAAGTAACATTTATCTTGGAAGTGCTTCCACGGGAGAATCAGGATGCTGTGGGGGTAATTTTGTTGTTTTCCCATATAAGGTTAATGGTCCTAAATTAATTATAAACCAACAGTTCCACGGAAATACCTTCATGTTTCTCTTTTACTTTTCAAAATTTTAGGCAACTTGGCTCTGAACAGACTCTGCTCTCCACCTATCAAAGGATCCAGTGTGTGTTCTGTTAGTCACCCAAATGTGGATTTTTTTCCTTTTCTTTCCTTTCTCTGTCTGAACTGTCCTAAAGAAATATTGCAAAAAGAACATGGAGTGGGTTCAAGAAATCTACAAAATAAATGAATCTGAAAATACTTCTTCAGCATTCAGTGAATTGAGGCAATATGGAAGAGGAGAGGAAAGACCTCTACCCAACTTGGTTCTCCTCACAAGAAGAATATTAAATATCTAATGTCTTGTGTACTATCCAAAGTGTCTCTTGTCGTAGACTGGAAGGAAAGGATCTTGTGTCCCTTGTCATTGCTCATTACATTGCACCCACACTCAGTTATGCACCAAAGGCAGGGTGGTCCTGAATGAGACCCCATAGAACATTACACAGTCTACTTTCAGACACTTGGCACTCATGAACAGAAAAAAGGGGAGGGAGTTATGGTACTTAGGACATAGCTAGCTGTAGAAAGAATAATAGTGGGTAAAGAGTCCATTTGGGTTTTGGAGGTTTATATTATGAAATGTTAATGAGAGTTACTTTTTTAGTTCTTCAAATAGTCAAATGATTTACATAATAAAACGTAATGAAGAAAACCTTTCTTATTTCTTTGTCACTTTTAGCTCTCCTTTGCTTACTTCTGTAAAAGGAATTTCTTACAACACTTTTGATAGTGTTTGCTCCTATCCACCAACATAAAGAAGAGCAGTCTCCTACCAATCATGATCTCTTACACTACACTACCATTCCTTAGGACCCAAGCTACTTACTTTGGCTTTTAAAACATTTCAACTCTTGAGTCTGGCCTTAAGTAAATACTTGTGTGGTTAGCCAAAATGCATAATTATCTGAACCAGTGAAAATGTTAATGTGCATTTAAAAGCAAAATGCCCATGGATGATCTTTAGTTCCAGGGACCCACCCTACATCATTAAGGATTCCTTCATCATTCTTAATTAAGGAGTGGGCCATGCATCTTCCACACAGAGACCTTCAAAGCTAGACTCATAGTCAAGGAGACTTCAGAAAACTGAAGTGGGAGATGGATTGTTTCCATGTAAGGAAAGACAAATGGAAAGGTGTATTTAGTCTAGAAGGCAGGAAAACTGCGAGTCTGTGATTGCTTATTTGCTCGAGAATGCTATGAGTGAGTGGAAATGGAAACGTTCCTTGGTCTTCCAGAGCTTACTAAATATTCCCTACTTTATTACTCTCAGAAATGTGTGCCTTACAGAGTGAAACTGTGAATGAATTAGTTAATACCATAGGGTCCAGCACAGTACTAGACATAGCTAATAATCACAAGGACATTAGATCAAACCAAATGAACTATTTCTTGAGATATATAATATCTAAAAGAATGCTCTTAGAACTTGACACTTCCCAATGGGGACGTTATATGAAGAAAATTGGAAAATAGAGTCCAATTTAGTATGTATCTACTGTTTTAATTCTTAATTATTATGATGATAAAAATTTATGTTTGTTGAATATTTTGTCATACATTTAGCCTGTTATATATTTTATACATCTGTATCGTTGTAAATTAAAGAACAAAAATGATAAGACTACTGAGTATCCACAGTGTTGGTCTTGAATCCAAGATCACCAGCTTCCATATAGTGCTCAGTGCCTGGGACTCTTCCATTTTCTGACCTTTTTAAATGATAGATTTTGATGTGATAATTTGATGTTAGTTATATATAGTAAGAAGTACAACTTTGATAGATGTTTCCCTTAAGATAATTATTTACTCTTATTACTTTAATATCCTACTTTATACCACAGAGGTCAATCTAAATGAATTAAAAGCTAGTAGTCTGCTGTCTGTGCTAAAGCTGAGTGCCAACAGAATAGGGTCTGTGATTCTTTCTCACAGTTAGAAAGAAAGATGTTCAACTAGAGATCCAGGCTTCTAAATACTGAGTTGTCTGGACGGGTGGTGTTTCAGAACCTTTCCTATATACAGCCTAGAAACACTTTAGGGTTTTTTGTAAAGCTTAGTTTAATAGTCTTATATTTACCAGTGTTTGTCTGCATGTCTATTTGTATCACATGTGTTCTTATTGCCCTCAGAAGGGAGAAAGGGGTGCCAGATCCTTTGAAACTAGAGTTATAGATGGTTGTAGGGAGCGATGTGGGTGCTGGGAACTGAACCAGCATCCTATATAAGACCAACTAGTGCTCCTGAGCCATCCCTCCAGCCCTCTAGTAACACTTTTCCCCCCTTACATTATTTTCTTGATTTTACTCTCTCCAGTGCCATTTTGTTATAATTAATAAATTTAAAATACTGGGTTACACAAATATTATTTTTAAAATGTGTGTAGTTTGCTTACCCTCATTTCAGGCTTGGGGGGTGGGGTGCAAACTATAACAGGTCATTTAGAAAGGTGATCCCTCCCTCTGTCACACAGTTCTCCAACAATAACATATAACATTCTCTCCGGAGTAAGTGCTCTCTTGCTGCCTTGCCCATTGACATACTGTTGTAAGAAGAGCAAGAGAAGGTCACCACACTGATAAGGAGACAATATGAGTGTCAAGAGCTAGCCAGAGCTCTGGAGATACTGTTCACAGAATGCTCCTCTCAGACAGTACACAATGGTGCTACTCCCAGATGCTACAATAAGGACCAGTCACAGATAATGGGATGGTTAAGCACACATGGCTTTCCACATATTGTTGATGCTTCATAGCTAAAATTACCCACAGTGCTTTACAAGCAAGCAAGCGTCAAC